ACTGGCACTTTAATACAATGTGTCTACCAATGCTACTCTGTTAAAGTGGTCATTGGATCACAAAAGCATACCCTATCTCTCAGCCATAATGCAGAGTTTTTGCTTGCAAGGACAACCAGACCTAATCCACCTGGTTATCCAAATACTCCTATCATTTAGAGGGGTTAATTATATAATAACCATTGAACGTAAAAAGTTGGTTGTTCTTCCTGTAAAGGAAAGTGAGACTTGCACTAAAAGCTTATTCATGGCTAGGACAAGCTCATATAGATAGAGGTAATGTACTTCTAACTCCTGAAAAGGAATATTGGTGGCCCAATATGGAAAATGCTGTAGTTTATGTGTTTAGTAATTGTAAGCATTTGCTTATTGATAACTAGACCACATTACTGATGTACTGTTTATTGAAATATTTATACCTAACGTACTTTTTGATTTACTTTATATTGGACATTTGCCAACATCTCATGGTTAGAAATATGTTTTTGTATGTGTTGATGCATGTACCAGGTTTACTTGGATATATCCTGTGCGAAGTGCAACCTCTGATGCCACGATTGCTAGTCTCACTTCCTTAATATGCATCTGGTAATCCCAGGACCATCCACTTGAATGGTGGTCCTGCAGTTACTGCAAAGGAAACCCAAAACTGGGCAACCACATTTAGGTTACTTTGGGAAATCAGTGGACCCAACCATCCCCTAAGTAGTGGGGTTGTGGAACGGAGGTGAAATGACTATTAACCAAGTTTCTAGTTGCTTGCCCCTCCCACCCCCAACTCCCAACAATGGAATTTATTTATACCTATGGGATTTTTATTTCACACATTAATCACAAACTAATTATAAAAATATAATTTATTGTGACAATAGTAATAAGATTAATATGTAACATGGATGACAATAATCAGTGAATATTTAGTTACAGCATAATTATACAATATGGCAGTGATTTAACACAATTTTTAGATAGTTCAATCTAGCAACATTATATCGACATGTATGCAGTTTTCTACAAGTTTTACGACAGGACACTTTACTTTGAATTCGGTTTAACACAGCAGCACAGCGTAAAGCAATAAAAACTTTGTCTGACAGTCAAATCACACTGAATTAAATCATTCACTGCTGGCTACAATTCTCATGGGCAAGATATCCTTTCATATTACAACGACAAATATAATATTTTTCATACCAGATCAGTAACCATTCCTATGTCCATCCAATAAGAATAATTCTAACCAGATTTTACGTTTGCAGAATTCTAACTTTCCTAATTAAGATGTATTTCTAAATTACATAAGCTAATATATCTGGATAATTGCCTGGTGTTCTATTTTTAAAGTTAAAAGTAATATAGAGTTCATTGGTCCACCTACAGGAATGGAATTACTAATTCTATATATTATTAACAAATCATGACTCCTTAATGTTGGAATCACCAGCTTTTATCCAAGTATATTCTGCCTTTTAGTAAAATCAATTATTTAAATTAATTTAATAAAACCAGTAGAATTTTTTTATTTTTTTTTTAGGCTTGGAGATGTATCCCACAAATGGTGAATGCAGGTATGAGTATAGAGAATTGTGCGAAAATAGGAAAGTTTTCAGAGTTTTGAATTATAAACAATTTCAAAGTTAAGTGTTAGTTGGCAAAGATACAAAGAGTTAAGTGTGTCCAGCTTTGGCTCCAGATGTCGGATCTTAGATGTTAGGTGTGAGTCCCCCCAGAGAGTATCTTTCTTTCCTCTGTCCTTAATTTTAAAAGGAGAAGTTTTCTATACGTCACTAGTTGATAGTGACCAAAGAGTAAGTTGGGCGTGTCTTCCCTACAGACTATGATCTAGCTCAGTAGATGGCATAATTACATCACAGAAAATTCTTGTCAGGGGGTCCACTAACCTTTTTGTATAATGGGTTAACTGAATTTTGTGATGCGTTTGATGTCATCTGGGCTATCTTTATGATACCTATTCGTCAGAGAAGCTGTCAATCTTCAAAGGCTTTTCTTTGCTTTTTACCAGAAAGAAACGTCTACTTTTGTGCCATTAAATTAGTTTCTGACACGTCCTAAACTCTTCTTCACCTCTCCATACAATGGAACTTTGTAAGATTCCGTTAGTTTTTAAAAAGTAAAATTAATTACTTAGTGTTATCTGTCAATGGTAATCCTGTGTCTGGTTTTCTTGTGTGAAACTGTGTGTAGCACATAGTAATGTTACAAATGTGATTTATACATGTCTATTACACATATTCCACTAACGTTAGTAAATAATATGACATTTCTTAACTGATATTATATCCATGAATATTCTATATTATTAATTTAGTACTATTTATATATGATTAATATAATTATAGTTAGTTATGTGTGGATAGTGTATGTGTGTATGTATATATATATATACTTATATATTTGTCTCTGGGTTGTTGCTTTCAACCCCCTTTGTTGCAGACATAATGTCTTATCTCTGCCAATGTTTACATTACTCGCATTCCTTAGCTCAGGCTTCAGTGACTAGAGTACAGAGAGAAAAAAATGTGTCTGTCTTTTTTTTTGTATTCTGTTACAAAATGGAGTCACTTCTGCTCTGATTGTGATTTACAGTATACACTTTTAATTTTTTGTCTTAACACAAAATGTCTGCCAAAATACTGACAGTAATATGGATTAACCCTTCCAGGTGATATATATGATGAATTTGAAAATTGATAACCTAGGTCATCTATTGCAAACAGGTTAAAAGATGTCAAAGATATAAATTCAACATCCATACCACTATATGTATGTATATTAAAATATATGTGATCAAATATTTGATTTATCTGTTTTTCAAATACCATGAAAATGTTATTTGGTTTGTGATGATTCTGCCACATCTATTGATTGTTTAATCAATACATCATACATATGATTATTAATTAATATTCTGATTGTAACATACCCCCACTTCAACCATTTATAGTTACAACATATTCTCATATCTATTATTGTTAAAATTGTCTTAAAACCACTTATACAAAGGTAGAGTTAAAGTATGAATACCTTCAATATTGTATCTGAGTGCTTTCTTAACTCACTTTTAAAAAATAATAAAAAATTCAAATTACCTTAAGCTGTTCAGACTTTAAGATGCCATCTTGTCCTAAATCAGGGAATTTTCAATGACGTGTGCACCCTTACGTTTTAGTTATGGCCTTGTATTTTGCCAAGTCAAGGGAGGTCCCTAGAATGAACAAAAACAAAAAAAAGTGTTACTTTTTCATATATGAACTATGGTAACCCTAAAATGAGGACACCTAGGGTATAAATAAGTGTACTTTTAAATATTAGAGAACACAGAGAGGAGAGATTTGGAGACAGACGCTGCTCCATCTTATAATGACAGAGAGGCTGACATGATGACATGTTCAGGAGGGAATGTTATTCTATTAATGGTATTGTAAGCATATAGTTTCATTTTATAAACTCTGCTATAAATTGTTGTAATGGATTTTATATGTCTATATTTAAAAGACAAAAATATCTAAAAGACAAAACTTTATTGCTTCCAAGACAATCCTTATTTTATATTTTATAATTGTATCTCAATTATTTATATATTTTAAATAGAGGCTCTCTTGCCAACTATATAATATTATGGTTAAAGATATCTGTATGGTTAGCGCTATTCTATGCTTTAAGACGTTATAGTGGTAATTAAATAAGGGAACCAGCTGCGGTTACAGTAGGATTGGGTTGTTTAGGACTAGGGGCAGATAAGAAACTGTTTTTTAACGATTCAAAAGGATTTTATTCCTTTTCACCCCAATGAAAAGTTTGGTCTTGTTTAGTAATATATGTTAGAGGGGAAACAATTTTTTATAAATTTTCTATAGAAATTAGAAAATCCAATAAAATATTGAATCTCTTTTTTTGATTTAGGTTGGGGCCAATTAGTGATATCTTCAACTTTTTTGGGATCCATACGAAAAGGTGAATCGGATATTATGTTGCCCAAAAAAGGAATTTCACTTTTTTCGAAAATACACTTTTCGGGTTTGGCAAACAATTTATAGACTCTTAAGCGTTGGAGTACCTTTTTTACATGTTTGATATCCCTAGCAAGACAAGAGGCACCGATAGATGCCGTTTTTTCAGCCCCACAAGCTGCCTAAACGGAAACGCAGTTCCAGGGCCTACCTCACGCCCGCGATCTGGGACCTAGAGGAATTCCTGCTTCGGCCACGGATTGAGAGAGAGGGGCTTCCAGCACTCCCGCCACCGACCGAAACACCAGCTCACTTGCCGGCAATGGGGCGCAGATCCCAGAAGCCAGTGGCAGACGGCAGAGACATATGGGCACTGCTTCAACCCATGCCCGCAGGAGACGAGCGGGAAACAGACCACGCTCCCCACCCAGTGCAGGGGAAACCAGAGACCCCTCCAACCATGAAGACAGCGAGGATACAGCAGCCTGAATCCCCTGACAATGCTGCACCAGCCACCAAGGGAGATCTCAAACTCCTGCTCGCTGATATACACAAGCTCTTGGCAGCTGACATGGCCCTCCTCAAGACAGAGGTGCAAACAGTCACGGACTGGGTAACAGCTGTAGAGCAAGACGTGGTGAAGGTCAAAACACACATAACAACACTGGATGAACAGGTACAAAATATACAGCATCACCAAAAACTCATGGCACTCAAAATGGCGACCATAGAAGATCGACAAAGGCGCACACACATAAAAATTAGGGGGAATACCAAACGCAATCACAGCAGAGGAACTGCTTCACTACGTTGGGCGACTCCTGTCCAGTATACTCTCCCACCCAGCTGCAAAGAAAATCTCCATAGATAAAATCTACCGGCTCCCAACCTACACACACCTAAAATCCCCTGCAGCTCGAGACGTTATTCTAAGGTGTGTCACAGTCCAGGACAAGCTCCACATCATGGCGGCGCTCAAGGATCGAACGCTACTACCCTTTGAGGACTCAGAGCTAACTGTAGCGGAGCTGCAATGTTAAATCCCAATACCTCCGCTGGTAAAATAAAGTAATCCAAGAAAAGCGCTGAATGAAGGCAATATCCCAATTTCCCCAGTAACCGGACGAAACACAGTTCTGGGAGTCAACTGAGGTTTTATTCACAGGTCACATTATTTATGTGGTTCCCCATGCAAGGGGTTTCCTTAATCACTTTACAGGGGTTGTACAATAGGGGACTACATGGAGAACTGAACATACATGACCATTTTTCCACCATGCACTGCTGTACGAGAGGGATACTCCCATAAGAATATCCTGTTAAGTGGATTATCCCTCCATACAGCAGAACAGGTCTTTTTACTTAAAAATGTATAAC